CATTCTCATCATTCAATCATTCATAATTTCAAACTCAGCTCTTATGTGGACCACTGATCAAACAGGACTTATCTTCAGATTGTTTCATGCAACCAAAAGATTTTCCTCCATCTCTTCTGGAGTCTCACTGTGACTATGAAAATGTAAGCATTTATTTTTGGTTACCACACAGAAACCGCAATTATTTATTCTTCTAAATATTCTAAATATCAAATCAAAATAGTATCTTAGTATATTTTAGAGGACCTGCTTAGCAAATGCAGGCTTTTTAATAGTGATAAGTGTAGTCAGATTTAAAAAGATTACATTTTCTGTCAGGTATGCTTCTTCCCCTAATTATTTTCCCACTATAAGAGATATGTAGGGAATGAATATTGAGCTAAAGTTAGTTAATTATCCAGTTGAGACATTTTAAGGATTGTCATTATTATGGCCTTTGATCATTTTTTAATTTACTTAAAATATATTATTCTACTTAAAACAATATTTGTTTAAATGAGCAGCACCACCTCATTTTGTTACTTGAACTTTTTCTTACATTTACATAATATACTATGAACAGTTACATAGCGCCTTCATGCCAAGGGCCCCACAAATTACAAAATGGTCTGAAAACAGCTCTATTAATATGCTGCCACCTCTTGGTACACAGAGTTGGGGTAAGTTACAGTTCTGACTGCCAAATATTTTGGAAAGAACCACTTGCCTTATCTATACAGTGAAGATAGAATGCTTGTTTTTAAGGTCATTTAAGAAAGCTTCCCTATAGGGTATGCTACATGTTAATCTACCTTTGAAATATAAAGGGGTCAGTCAATGATGTTGGAATTGAACCTGTGATTTAAGTTTTCTACACTACTAAGCCATTAAATATATTTTTTATGTTTGTACAGGGCATACCCGACGAAAGATGGATTGGACAAACTTGGAGCACTTGGGTTATCTCTACATTAGGAGTTGCTCTACTATACACTTACATTTTGTTTGGTATGATTCTAAAGTCCCTCTACATGTGCATGTAAAGGCACTATGGATTCTAAAGTATGATGCAGACAATTGTGTCTCTTCCCATTACACAAGGTGTGCCACTGCTACTTGTACCTGGACAAAACAAATGTCCACACTCATTTGGACGTGCTCTCAGAGTTGGTAACATGCCACTGCAGCATTCAACTCCTATGAGTAAAGTTTCTCACAGTCCATACTTTACTTTAAGGAGGAAGCAGGGGCCCAGAGATCTATTGTCTAATATAGTATATTATCAGATGTGCTAATTATCTTAAAGCCATTTGGCTTCATCAACCCAATATGGTCATAGCCATAATTTCATTATAATTAAAATTGTGTAATACTTGTAAAGCAACAATGGCTGATGTTCAGCAACAATGGCTGATGTTCAGAACAAGTTAGATTTCTTAAGTGGGTGACTGACTTAGTTTTTATGAGACACTTCATACACTGAAAAAAATCAAAATTATATGGTTTGTTAAATAACTGTCTGCAACTTTGCACCCAATATTGGCTACTCAACTAATCTGAAAAAATGCAGCACTTAAGGAACGCATTATTATGATGTTGGCAGACAAGGTTCTTTGGGTCTTCCTATGTCCTAAAGACCAACATAGCTACAACCTATACCCTTGATTATGATGTTAACACATGAAGAAAATTACATTGTTAATAGTTCTAAAGAACCACATGTCTATTTTAGTAGGTCATACCCATTCTTGTACAGGCCAATAAGGATCATTAAACACTAACAGGTCTCTGAGACCTTCTTCAGAGTCAGTGACATTGTAGACTTCACTAGGGATCTCATTTTCCTCCTGTACAAGATCTGCAGGGCAAAGGAGGCAAATGAACTATGAAAAATATAATCACTGCTTTTACGGTTGCTTTTTTGTTATAAAAACTCCATTTATTTAAACTCCATTAAAAACCACATTTGACTGCCAAAAGCAAAAATACATATTTCTGTTATGTTTACAATTTTTCATTTAAAAGAAAAATGTTCTGACATTTGTTTTGATAATAATATTTTAAATATTTGCCATGCTTTACACATATTTTGATGATCTACAGTAATTGATTAACAACCTGAATCCTGCAAATTCAGGCCCCTACAAATTTACAGGGAAAATTTCAAAAGGCAGTGTATGATTTAGGACCCCAACTCCCATTTTCAGAAGTAAATTAGGCACTCAAGGCCCAGATCCAGGTATTTTGGCACCTAACTCATATTAAAATCAATAGGAATTAGGCATTTAAATCCTCTGAAAATTTTGTTTTATTGAAGCTAAATGTTACCAAAAATCAAGAAGATTTAGTCTCGTACGGTGTCTTTATACATGCTCGGGGAGGGGGGTTATTGAGGAGGAGGGCAAATCCTAGGAAGGTGTGGGCCCCCAAGGCAAATGAACCTGTGTGAGGCCCAGATGTAAAGAAGCCAGTGGAGGCAGCAGCAGGGGGGTGGGGAATGGAGATGTGGTGAGAGGCCAGAAGCGAAGCCAGCAGCGCCGTGTCACCAGCACTAAGTGGGCCCTGGAGGAGGGGCCGTGGCCACTCCATGTGATGGCCAGAACCAAAGGGGTTAATGAGCAAATTATAACAAAAAAATTTGCTTCTTGAGAGCATCTAGCAATAGCATAATAGTTAATATTAGCTAAGGCAAAGCTTGCAAAATTGTTTCCTGCAAACGTATCCTGTCTGTCATAAGTATAACCGTAATGATAAAATTAACTGTCTGTACCAATCATAAGACTAACATAAGCCCCAAGAAGTGGAACTAGAAAACAAAACTGCAAATTTCAGCTGACCTAACAGTTTTTGCTTAAAGGTCAGTAAAAATGACAAACCTGACCACAAGGTATAAGTAACACATTTCAAAAAATTCCAAAAGGAAGTAACCAAGTAAGCTGAACTTAGGCAGAGAAAATGCCAGTCTCAGACCCCAAAGTGATGTGGTATGATTTGCTTATTGGGTAAACCCAAGTTTAGGCAGTAACCTATTATAATAATTTCTAACACCTTTTAACCCCATAGGGTAATAGCTGTAGAGTAAGATTGTGAGTGGCTCTATAGCCAACAGATTAGCATAGGACAAGATATAAAGGAACATGCATGTCAGGTGACCAGTAGGAAGGATGGAACAGTGCTGTTCGAAGCCCGGACTCCAGACTCCCAGTGTGAGCAAGGACCAGATCCTTACTAAGGGACCTTCCCCGGTGCTCTCTCCGACCACATTGATCGGGGACACCTGACTTCACTGAATCAACTTGATGTGTACCTGGCACTGAGGGTCTATTGATAATTTGCCAGCCAAGTGGGAACTCTTTGTCAACATGTCTGTCTGTTTTTCTTATCACTGCCAATTTTTAACTTTTATTGCTATATTGTCTGTTTATTAGCTTAACCTTTTTATTAACTGTTATACATGTAAACCGTATTTTGCTGCTAAAACATTTTTGTTGCTATTTTGCCGCTATAAGTAAAATTTATCTTTACTGTTATAAGTGAAACTTATCTTTGCTTCACTCCCAACTCTGCCTCCTCAATCCCAAACCAAACAGCCCAGTGGCTGATACATTTGCAGGGCCCAGTAGGCCTGCAACCAAATTGATACACTCACACTGCCCAGTTGGCCAGTGACAACTCCACCTGGTTCCACGGGGCCCCCCAAAATGTGGGGTCCAGGGTAGTCACCCCAATTCACACCCCACCAGGACAGCTCTGATCTGGAGCCATTCTAATTAGAGCACCCACAGCATCTCATATATTCAGTATGCCATACTTCAAATCGTTGTTCAATGAGCTTTAGTTAAAGTGCCCTAGTTGCCATTTTGAACCATAGGGATGCTGAATACATGAGACACCAAGGCTGCTGGAATGTGCAAATTAACACAACCAGCAGACTTGATTAATCAAGTCTGCTCTGACATTTACTAATTAACAGGTGTTGAAGCAAGCATTGGACACATTTTTAGGTGTCCATAGGGGCTAGATTTCCAAAGGTATTTAGATACTTATTGATAACACTAGGTACCTGTTGTTTTTGTTTCAAAATATTAAGTCTCTGTTGCACATTGAAACAAGTGGGAATTAGCACCCATTACCACCCAAAATCCTAACAGTACTGTTAGACACCTAAATCCCTGTAAATTTCTGCCCCAAAATCTCTTTTGTAAATGTTACTTGTGGTCCTAAGTCCTATAAGGATTTTTGAAAATTCTATTCTAGTTCCAATTCTGGACTTGGCTAAAAATAATGGAAGAATAATTTTCTCAAAATATTTTCCTTACAATTCTGAGTTGAAACAAGAAACAGAGAAAAGCACACATTATATGATGACTTCAGAATTTTTTTAAAATGGTTTGGCTTGCATTTGGTTTTAAAAATGGAGAAAGATCTGACAGTAGAAAAAGTTTAGATCAGCAAACTAGTTTAATACATTCTTATCATAATTTCTGAGCAAACTTGCCTCATTATGGAGGTGGATAGATAAGAGCTAAAAGAAAGAGATGTGATCCAATATCACTGTGATCAGCTCCTTTCTCCTTAAACTACCTGCCCTGTCTGTAATTGAACATGAGGACCTTGAATAGACCTCCTTGGTTATATATGGATGCATCAGTGACTTCCCTATTTACTGTCACCCTCATATCAAGGGACCGCCACCATTACCAATCTTAAATGGAGTTAGATTATGAGCACTTTGAGCACAGAGTGTTAGAGTTCACACCCCTAAATGATGAGAAGTACATATTACAAGGATTTATATATAAAGTCACACTGTTAGAAGACAGATAATATGAATGGCGGACACTCTCTTGCCAGAGTTAGAAGGAAAATTAAGGTGCTGTATTAGACAATGTCACAACATAATAGACAGCTGGCAAAAATTCAGTTTTGTTTTCTGACTTCCAAGGAAGTGACAGGGTTTTTTAGATTGGATCCCACCATGAATGCATCTACCCCCATCTCCTTTTCTTTACTCGCATAGTTCTTTATTCTTGCTTCTGTGACTGACTCACAATTATTTTCTAAATTTCTCTGTAAGAGATCTAACGTGCTTAGCCATATAAGTGAAGAATTCCTCCTCAGTAGCAAAATTTTTGGTTCCTTGCAAAGTTACATTTGATTTTTTTCCAGTACTGTCTTCTGAACACACTGACCTTTGGTAAGCCTTGTCAAGGGATGCTGAGATATAAAGAACAACAGGTTACCACATAATCTCTTCTTGTTAATGCCTGTTCCTGAAGAGCACTTGCTGGCTTAAAAACAGATTTGACTGACCCAAGATTAAGAAGTCCCTTTATAACAATTACTCTTCTTATCTCTGAATAAAATGGATACCAAAGCAATATCTTCTTGAAGAATTCAGATTCACAGAACTAGAAGGTAAGTATCAAAGGACTACATAGTAAACACTATATAAGATGTTAAACTAATCCCAAGAGCTGCAGCTTTAAAAATAGGATCACCATCAACATATTTGATTTCTATTTTATAATAGATGTTTTGCAAGTAATTTCTGAGGAAACCTGGGTTACTACATAATTTAGGCTTTATAGGAAGTTTTATACAAAAGCACATAAAAACATGAAGAAATCCCTCTAATATACTTGTGATTTAGGGGAACATTACCACATTTACTTGCATACCAGATAAGATATACCAGATACATGCCACCAGATAAGATACACACCCTGACTTCAGAAGGCAAAGTAAAGAAATAGTATTTTTTTCTTGCCAGCAGCATAAACACAGGCAGCTGCAGTAGGAGGGAGCAACAACCTGTTTGCTCCATTAGGCCCCTAGCTGCTGGCTGTCTGTGGACAATTCCTCTTGCAGCATCAGCATATGCAGCAGCACCAGGATAACCCTTTAGCATATGCAGGGTTACAGTCCCATTCCTCCTCATCTCATCATTTCACTTTATTGAAGGGAGGCCCTCAAGCTGGTGGGGCAGACTCTGCTGCTGCAGCCATATTGGAGCTTAGCTGAGCCCTGACATACCCTCAAGGTGCAGCCCTAGCAATGCAGTATGCACTGAGCCAGCTCTAGCCCAAGAAGAAGCCTCAGCAAGGAACAATTTTTAGCACATTGTTCAAGGGAGAGTCTAGAACTTCTTCACAGTAACAATGGCCAGATTTTGGAATGGGCTTCCAAGGGAGATGGTGCTCTCCCATACCTTGGGGGTCTTTAAGAAAAGGATGGATACGCAACTGGCTGGGGTCATCTGGCCCCAGCACTCTTTCCTGCCTAGGCAGGGGTTCAGACTCGATGATCTGTTGAGGTCCTTTCTGACCGTGGCATCTATGAATCTATGAACATTTAGGCCTTGGCTCCATTCAGTAAAATACAGTTATTGAGTTACTGAATTATGTAATGAGGGCTATTCACGATATTGTCCAGAATGATCAACAGTCTTAGAATAAGTCTGGAAGCCTGAAATCTTTAGAAAATAGCATCAGTAGGTGTCACATTAACTCATCCTTTTCCTTCTGCTCTTTTAAATTTTTTCCCTCCCACCCAGCAAGCCTTGAATAGATGAAGGAACATGGCACACAGACAGAAGTGACAATTTTTACCCAATATGGTCACAGAAAACAGTTTATAGCCATGACCAAATGCAGGTTCATGGCTGCAGACAGCTTCAAAATTGGCCAATCCAGTGAAAATCTGACCCTCACTGCATGAGGGGTCAAATGAGGACTTTTTCAAAACAGACTATCTTTTGTAACTTCTATCTGCACTTCCTCCCAGCCTTAAGCTGTTTTTAGAACAGAAGGGGGGAAGGGGAATGGAGGGAGTTAGGTCTGGGAGTTTTTCAGCCCT